ATAATAAACAACTTGACACCAGAGCTGGATATCGATATTAAATGTGCTTTAATTTGACCTATTTATGGTATGCATTAAAGGTGGGGTAGGTAATTTTGGAGAAACCAGCTCGAGTGCGCTGGAATTTGAAAATACACAACCGGAGAAAATCTGCCACTTCCTTACAGAGCCCCTCCTCCAACACACACGAACGCGCACATGACCAATGAGGGCACGAGATAAGTTTGTGCACAGATGGAAGGCTGACAGGCAGGTAGGCCATCCAGTTATTTTAGCCGGGCTAAAATGATTGGTCGTGCTTTTTACAGTATTACGGCTTCCACAGATTAAAGTTTTGTATGGATTTTTTGTCAAAGTACTTAAAATATTCATTGCTATCGGGATGTTAAGAGCATTCCATGGAATATAACAAAAAGTGTATCTCGAGCCGGTTTCTTAAACTTACCTACCCCACCTTTAAGGACAGCAAGCCAAACAAAATCATGTCTTTTTTTAATGTCATCAGTTCTGTCACCAGAAATAGCACATTACACTGAAGTTATGGCCACCGGATTCTAATTCCTAAGATATTAAAATGAAAGAAGAAGACAAACAGACAGATAGACATGTCTACGGTTGGACAGCCCGGGCAGTTTTAATGATACTATGGGTTGTCTGTCCTACATTCGTCCACTTTGAACCTCCTTAAAATGCATTGGAACAAAGGTCACTGACTCTCTGTGACCTCACAAAACACCTTTTTGGCCATAGCTCAAGACACAATAATTTCTAATAAAACAATGACTTGTACATTCTGGACAGATATGGACAGAAACACTTTGGACTTGTTGCTGGAGGCATACAGCCGTGAAGTGGTAGTTCTAGTTTGTGTGAAATGTTATGCTGTTTTAATGAAAATCTCACTATTGTGTAAATGCACCAGATATTGTCAGTTAAGAACATAATATTCATGACATAATATTATGAGCATGTAAAAAAGCCCAATGCTAATATATTGGAGTATTTTAGCAGTTGAGGTTTGGTTTATAAGAAGGAACAACATTCTCAACAACAGCTCTGAGAGAATAAATATACCCAGCGCCTCCTGTTCCTCTGAATGATTCAGGGCCCCCCTGCCAACAGGGCCCCTGCTCACAACATGGCTCACCGTAATCATCCACCCCAATGCAGATCAGCAGTTAATATATGAATATCATGTATCTCATTAGCACTTGGCTCCACAGTGGCTCCATGGTGAGCATGTCTTTATACGTTGGTGTTCTTGATGTTTGCTCGCCTTCCAAACCCAGCTGCTCCTCGGCAGTCCACAGCCTGCAGGTCAGGTGGGGGGGGGGGGGCTCTGATGTAACTTACACACACACACACACACACACTTTGAATGGAAAATAAGCAGCTATAGTGAATAAGATGGGTAAAAGCAGATTAGAATAGTATGCACAAACCAAGTAGTCCGGACAGCAAAGTGCATCAGGAGACAACCTCACAAACAACACACGTCCGTAGCACACACACACACACACACACACACACACACACACACACACACACACACACACACACACACACACACACACACACACACACACACACACACACACACACACATATGCAGCGCAGGTCCAGAAGGTGGGGGATTTACGGCTCAGTGTCTCAGATTAAGTTGAGGGCTTATAAAGCACAGGGACCACCACTGGCTGTCTTTACTTGCATCTCCTTCAGACTTTCTTGGCCCTCCTGTCGTGTTCGTTTCTCCAAGCTTACTTTGGTGTTCTCGGTCAAATTTGACCTGTCTGTTTTTTACTGCTCTCACTGTACATGGACACAAAAACCATTAATCATCACCAAATAGTTTCTGGTTTACATGTATAACCTCTCTTCATGTCTGCATACTTTTTTTCCTTTTATTTTATTTGTATTAACACATTTACCACAATTATATATATGCTGTGTCTGTCCTCTATCACTCTTGATCTCACCTATGTGTGTGCTTCCTCTGTGCTCACACAACATTCCTGCTCACCCTCTCTCTCATTTCTATCCACCTGTCTGTCAAACACTGAAAGGTAGATTCTTTGTAAAGACCAGCACTGATTCATTTGCATTGAGCTGCTTCCAGGTGATATACTGTCCTTCATGTTAAGCTATCAGTGTAAAACTCAGCAGTGACAGCAGCTGGCGACTCTAAGAGTATCCGGAGACGCACACATGACTGAAAGAAGTGCTGACAGCCTGTGGATCCATCCCATCAGCTTACCGTCCCATCGCAGGATCAATTCTACTTCATCACTCCTACGTCAGCATAGAGCAGCACAAAAACCAGCAGGCCTAGATAAACCCACAATCAGCAGTACACTCATAGATATTTGAAGAATAGTGTTTAACACTAACCGAGGTGACATTTTTAAATGGTTGTCTTTGTCTGACATTCCAAAGATTTTTAGATTTCTGTGAAATGAAATAGAAGGGAAAAAAGAGTATTTTTGCTAGATGACTTAGTTTTTTTTGTTTTCTTCACTTCACATTGACTCTCTGTGCATCCCTGCTGCTCTGTGCAGGATGGATGAACTCCCTCCACTTTTGTGTTTTTCTTTACTTACATTACAGGCCAGATGGTCTAATCAAGTAACATGCATTCACATCATGAAATGTTAGATTGGTTTTTCTCCCAAGATGTAAAAGATCGTTTTTTGGCCAACAAACTCATTAGTCGAAATGTTCATTTTCAGAGTTCCAACTGGTTAAAGCGGTATTTTTATTGAACTTTTTTTTTTGTAACCTAACAATGCCTATTTTCTGCATTACCAACAGTAATATGAAACAACCTGAGAAACTGAAAAACTGTTTTTGTTCATGTAAAACGTGTCAAGAACTGACAGTTTGTGAGTCTTCCAGTGTGTTCCATATACACAGCTGTGTGTGCCTGCATTTTTACTACAATGGAAAATGATCCTTTACTAAACCATTTAGCAACACCTGTACATCTGGTTGGTTCATGCAAATAAAACATTGATGATCAGAAGATCTTCAAATATACAGAATGTTTATGCAAGTTGTTGATTTTGGTTTGGAGGGTCAACTGCACAGCAGAACTCCCCCGAGGAGAGAGGCAGTGACATCCTGATAAAGTGAGGGATGAAACAGGCCATTGTCAAGTGTTCATTTGAGGTGGAAGTTATTTCTATTTATAAGCTTGACTCTACTTTAGTAGCTAGGTTTCCTCATGTCTATTTATGTTCTTGTGCAATGATTTTCTTAAGCTGAACAGTGAATTGCCAGAAAATCCGCCATCAAAACTGAAAAGGGCAGACCCTTCATTTAAACTAAAGGGCATGAGGGCAACTCTGTGACATCATATTCATGCTCTTCTTATCCCTAGATTCCACCGGGTCCGTCTGCGGCGCGTTACGGGCGCGTTACAGCTGCGCGGCGCTCACGTCGATCGCGGCCACTCTAGTCAATGGGTGCTATTCCACCACACGCGGCGCGTTACGGCTCAGAAGCGTCCCAGAAGCGTCCCAGAAGCGTCCCAGAAGCGTCCCAGAAGCGGCTCGGCGCAGGGCTCCTCTAAAATTAGGATCGAATCCTATTTTTGTCGCGGCGCAGCCGTAACGTAATGTCGGGCATGCAGGAAGTGGAACGTTCAGAGCATATATAGCATATATATATAGATACACACACACAAACTAATTTTGCAGACCCTATCCCTCCGTAGTCTTTCAAGTAGGAGGAGAAATGCCAGCGTTCTCCTCCGGTTAAAGGCACTGTGTAAATTATATATATAGAATAATTATGATGATGAATGCATTTTCTTACCACTAAAATACAGCAACACATCTTTGATTCATGTCGTTTATAACTGGAATATTACAATTATTATTAACTTTGTCTGTACAAAGTAGCCTGTCCTATGCCCAAATCAACAAAAACTGCGAGCCGGCAGGCAAGACGCTCCGCTTCTGAAATGCTTCTGAAACGCGCCTGGTAGGTTATGACGCCGGAGGAGGCCGGACCAAAACCGCGGCGCAGCCGTAACGCGGCGCAGACGGACCCGGTGGAATCTAGGGGTTATACTGACATGTTTTTAGATGGGAAAAACCCCTTGAGATGACCGTGTTGTTTTCAAGAGGGTCCTTATACAAGGTACAGCACAAACATTTTAGATTACATATCTCAACATAACTATGGCCACAAAAGGTCTTGAACAAATACATTTGCCCAGCAATTACAAACAATACATACGAACATAGTGTGAATGTACAATTCACCTCAGAATAAGAAGACTAAGTTCTTCTTAGAGGGTGTTTGCTAATCAGTAAACTGGGAAACTCCATTAAATGTATGACTGAAGAATCTGCTGAAAGAGAGTTGCATCGATGAACCAAATGAAAAGAGACAGACTACACGATGTCTGATCCAACCTGCAAACAATGTTTCCATCTAGCCTGACCCAAAATATGAATCTTTATTTCCACTTTTGTCAACGTTTTTAAGAACACTCTGGACGTGCATTGACGGCATGATGAGTCGTTTTGGTATGTTAACCAGCGGGGCAAACCAAACCACTGAGTGATCACACAGAAACACACACAGTCAACACACTGTAGATAGAGATTTTTTAATCAACTCACCACAGGAGCACATACGGTAAACACCGTATGGTAGTTCTCGTCCTTGATTAATATACACTGATGTCAGGTTAAAGTCACTCTCTGTTTGTGACTTTCCAATTTCCAATCATCATGCATGATGTGTGGAACAAGAGAAGAGATATGAATAAAAGATAGTGAGATATAGGGGATTGAAAAAGAAACACTGAGTGCATGGTGCGTGTATACCCTTGAAGCCGTGCAGTTCACTGAGCACTGGATAAAGCCTTGACTTACTCCTCTGTCTCTGTGTGTGTTTGCAGGTTTAGTCAAACAACCCTGACACTCTGGGAATTCTTCCTATATGTCTCTGTGACCCTTCTGTTGTCCCTGTCTGTCACTCTGTCCCTGCAGCTATACAACAGCATGCCTGTATGTTGGCCAGCAGAACAAGAAGCACGATGGAAGTGAAGGAGCGACGTCCATACTGCTCACTCACCAAGAGCCGCAAGGACAAGGAGGGAGCGTATACTGGTGAGGGCCCCTCATTCAGATAGTCATGTCTTTATTCAATCATCTGTTTAACCACCTGAAACCCCCCAAGCCCTCCTTTAACCAAAGTGTGGAGAACATACAGTGGCCTTCAGGGAAAGGTCCTCTCTAGAGGAAGAGATAAGTATGTCCTCAGAACCTGTAGAAACATGGCACTCAGCGTGCAGACTCTGTGAAGAGGACCTGCTCAATATAAACATATGAACTGCTAGATCTAAGCCAAAGGAAACACGTGGATGCTTAGTTTCAGGAGATGTTACAGCCATAAAAACATAGCTATAAACATATCTGATGATCAATACCTCTCCTTACCTGGTCATTTCAGTACGAAATGTAGCATCTATTTATGAACGCACAGTTTCTTTCACATTTTGTAGTTCTGTATATTAGCATTTTTAAGTAAAATGTGCAAATATGTACATAATGTGCATTGACATTTAATTTAATAATTGCAGTGCATTGCTGCTACCTCTGCTTTTATCACTGCTTTTATTTATTTGTGTCCATTTATATTACTGCAGTGAGTGATGCCAACAGAATGTCGTTATACTTATGTATGATGACAATAAAGATGTTTTGATTTTGAAGTGTAAACATTTTACGGCCAATAAACACACCCAGGTTAGACAAACATATATAAAAACTGGAGCCGTATTCATACTCATCATTCGGAAATGCATGAACATAATGTACTGTAAACACTTGCATATTGAGTATGATTTAAACATTGATAAAGAGTGTTAATAATACTGTCTGGAGGAAGGACCACAATGGGTAAACAATGCGTTTTCTTGATGGCACGTTTTATTCTTGAATATGTATCTCCCTGCTCATGTGTGTGTTTGTGTGCCAGGTTCATCCGGGGACAGTGAAGACTGTGCCATTGGCTCCCAGGGGCTCCGGGTCCCCACCCAGAAGTCCTACTCCTCCAGTGAGACCCTCAAGGCCTTCGACCAGCACCAGGACCAGACCAGGTCAGAACTGGCCTCACTTACATCTGTCTAAACCAATGTCATCACTTTAGCACTAACTGTTTCTTTAAATGAAAATATCTTGAGTAGACTGACAGGGGGGACTTCAGAGGTTTAGTACAGTCTCATCTCTGGCTGTCACTCCAGAGAGGGACTGATAGCTTCACTTGTTCTTCAGCAGGGCGCATTCAAGCTATTTTACCTTCCTATTTAAAATGTCCACAGTTTGAATGTATAAAAGCTATATTTTGCTATGGTGGTTTCTACTTTCGTGAGCTATTATTTATTTCGTGTCAGAAGCACATCCCGGGTATAATGAATATTTTCGAAACATTTGAAACAATGCACAGTTTTAGGTTAGTCAGTAGTTCCTGAGCTACATTATGGATTTAAATGTATTCTATTTGTTGGTGTTAGCTTTTCAGTATGAATAGATGAATATTGTTTTAATATAGTTTAAACTTTTTATTTTTGTTGTACTTTAATGATTGAGCTACATATTATTTGCTCTATTCTCAGTGAATTATCCACCATAAATCAGAGCACATGCTTTGTATGTCACCATAGCAGACCAGCAAAATACATGTGTTTGCCACTTCCATAGGTTCTAGAAAATGAAATCTAAATGAATGTTTTGAATATAATGTTTATTTTACACCATCTGTCTCTTGGCCTCACATGCCATCCCATAAAGGTTTCTCTGTCCTCATCACTGTGTGCCAGACACCCATATGATGAGTTGTTTTGTGTTATTTAACTGTATGTACATAACTGATATAAAAGCAGATGGTACTGATTACACATGTGACCTGGGTAGGTTGTTCCTTTTGAGAAAGTGAATAATCTGTCAGACTGGTGGAATAACTATATGCACGCTGTATACTTTTCCAAAGCGTGTGTACTTAATGAAAGTTAATTACATTGTCATACATAATACAAGTGATTTGATTTCCCTTTGTGGCCTCAACACGTTGGACTAAACTCACTGTTGTTCACCTTTTGCCCTGCTAACGTACATCCATCAGGGCTTTGAGCAAGAAAGAGGTTTTATTAAAGAGTTTTAATTGAGCTGCTCATTAAAGGTTAAACTCCAGATAGGCATGGTTATAGTCAAAGGTGCATCCGGAAAGTATTCATTCCCCTTCACTTTTTCTACATTTTTGTACGTTACAGCCTTATTTCAATTTGGATTAAATTCATTTGTTTTCTCAACATTCTACACACAATACCCCATAATGACAAAGTGAAAAAAGTTTTTAAATAATTGTTGCTAATTAATTAAAAATAAAACACTCAAATATCACATGTGCATAAGTATTCACACCCTTTAATCAATACGTTGTTGAAGCACCTTTGGCAGCAATTACAGCCTCAAGTCTTCTTGAGCATGATGCTACACGCTTGGCACACCTATCTTTGGGCAGTTTCTCCCATTCTTCTTTGCAGATTGTCTCAAGCTCCATCAGCTTGGATGGGGAACGTCGGTGCACAGCCATTTTAAGAGCTCTCCAGAGACATTCACAGACTGGTCCCGAAGCCACTCCTTTGTTATCTCGGCTGTGTGCTTAGGGTCGTTGTCCTGTTGAAAGGTGAACCTTTGCCCCAGTCTGAGGTCCAGAGCACTCTGGAGCAGGTTTTCATCAAGGATCTCTCTGTACATTGCTACATTCATTTTTCCCTTGATCCTGACTAGTCTCCCAGTTCCTGCCGCTGAAAAACATCCCCACAGCATGATGCTGCACCACCATGCTTCACTGTAGGGATGGTGTTGGCCAGGTGATGAGCGGTGCCTGGGTTCCTCCAGACATGATGCTTGGCATTCAGGCCAAAGAGATCCATGTTGGTTTCATCAGACCAGACCATTTGTTTTTCTCATGGTCTGAGAGTACTCTAGGTGCTCCATGGGGGCTTTCATGTGCCTTTTGCTGAGGAGTGGCTTCCTTCTGGCCACTCTACCATAAAGGCCTGATTGGTGGAGTGCTGCACAGATGGTTGTCCTTCTAGAAGGTTCTCCCATCTCCACAGAGGAACACTGGAGCTCTGTCAGAGTGACCATCGGGTTCTTGGCCACCTCTCTGACCAAGGCCCTTCTCCCCCGATGCTCAGTTTGTTTTGGGCAGCAAGCTCTAGGAAGAGCCCTGGTGGTTTCAAACATCTTCCATTTGCAAATGATGGAAACGAGGGGTTACGTATGGTAACCCTTGTTATATAAGCACAGGCGGAGCCCTCTACTGGACTCTATGGGTACTACCCCTTGATCATATCATGCAAGCATTCATCCACTGAGACTTCTATAAACGTAGCCGGCCCCGGGGCGGGCCTACCTGAATGTGCGCGCATCTCACCGTATAAAAGGAGGCCTCGCCTCCTGACTGTCATCCTACACCTCTCTTCAGCGAGCGGCATAGGACCGACAGGGCCCCGAGTAGAGGGCTCCGCCTGTGCTTAGATAACAAGGGTTACCATACATAACCCCCTCGTTATATCTCTCACGCCCTGGACTCTATGGGTGCAGTGGGCGGAGCCCCGATGTATACACGCGCTGTCGTCCAACAACACCGTTCCACCCCACTGCCCCTGACCGGCTTTCTGGTTAGCAGCCGCTGCACCGCACCCTCCTTTACCTCGGTTGTGACCGTGGAGAAGTCTGGGCCGCGGCTGACAGAGCACACTCCGACGCGCTTACCTCGCGAAAAGTGTGCTCGGAAAACAGTGCCCCCCCCGCCCATAGGCAGACGGAGAGAGTCCCCAGCCCCGTATGGGCTCACTGTGCACCACCTCTCCCGAGTCCCAAAGGAGCACGGGGAGAGCGCAAGTGCCCCATGTCCCCCACACTCAGACACTGACCCCGTGCAGAGTGTGTATGGACTATAGTGTGGAGGGCTCTCCCCTCCTGCCCCTAGGCACGCGAGGAGAGCCCTCCAGCCCCGTATGGGCCCAGTGCGCGCTACGTCCCCCGGGACCCCCCAGGGGGCCCGGAAAAACGTAAGCTCATTACGTCCGGGGAGGGGGTCAGATGCCCACTGACCTACAGCCCCCCCCCCCTCCTCACCAGTCCTGTGTTGCCCCAGCAAGCACAGACGATGAGAAAGAGCCAGACATGTCCAAGAGATAAAACTTTATGAAGGGGCCTGGCGTTGACCAAGACGCCGCCGTGCATATATCCTCCACACTCACACCGTTGAATAAGGCTGTCGACACAGCCACAGCCCGTGTCGAGTGTGCACGGACCTCCGCGGGGCAGGCTCTCCCCGCCTGTCCGTAGGCATGTGCAATGCACTCGCAGAGCCATCCTGCCAGGTGTTTCTTGGACAGAGCTTTCCCGGTCACCCCGCCCCCAAAGCACACAAACAGCTGTTCAGTGTGTCTAAAGGCAGCCATGCACTCCACATAACATGCTAGCGCACGCACCGGGCAGAGGAGGTGCAGTTTAGCTTCCCTGGCTCCACTATGGGGTGGAAGACTAAAGCCCCCTAACTGAATAGCCCTCGACCTGAACGTACTCCTTAGGCTCTTGGGCACAAAGGAGGGGTTCGGCCTGAGTGTTGCCCCGCTCTGGTCACCCCGGATCAACAAGCAACTTGGGTGAATAACTCCGTCAGACAAACCACCCTGTCTCAGCCTGTCCCTCTCAGGAGCCAAGCCTGGAGAGGTTGGCCCAGAGTGGGTAACGCCCCGATTGCACCTGCCTCTTGAGACATCGCCCCCCAGAACTGGGGAATCACCCAGGGCTGGCCCACCTTCATCTGTGTCATCTCTGAGTACCACGGTGCCCCGACGCGATCCGGAGCCACTAGGATGACTGACAGACGTTCTCGCCTCACTCTCCCCAGGAGAGGGAGAATGACACGCAGCGGTGGAAAGGCGTGGAGCAGCTTTCTTGGCCATGGCTCGTGTGCGAACGCGTCCACCCCCAAGGGCGGATCGTCGCTCTGAGCCATGGAGAACCACAGGGCACAGTGGCTGTTGCGCCGGCTGGCGAACAGGTCCACTTCTGCTTTCCCGAACTGGGCCCAGATCTGCTTCACCACCTCCGGGTGAAGCGCCCACTCGCCTGGCATGGGGCCGCCCCTCGACATGAGGTCGGCCCCCCTGTTCTCCAGTCCCGGGATGTGGAGGGCTCTCAGAGACAACACCACCTCTGAAGCCCATAACCACAGTTTCTCCGCTGTGGTCAACAAGGCGGCGGAGCAGACTCCGCCCTGCCTGTTGATGTATGCCACTGTGGTGCTGTTGTCGCTCCTGACCATTACATGTCTCCCCTGAATTAAGGGTTTGAAATGCTGGAGGACCAACACTACTGCCCGTAGCTCTAGGAGGTTGCTGTGCCGTGTTTCTGTTAGAGACCAGCGCCCACCTCTAGCTCTCTTCAGGCAGGTCCCTCCACATCCTGTTCTGGATGTGTCCGTGAACACTGTGATGTAGGAGGTCACCCGTCCCAGTGGAGACCCCCTCCGGAGGTGATCCAGGGACCCCCAGAACCGGAGGTTGCCCTCCACTGAGGGGGGGATGGTCACCAGACGTCGTGTGTGCCTCTTGGGATCTAAACGCAGACTGGAGAACCACCTCTGCAGGCGGCGCATATGCAGTAACCCGAGCAGGACCACAACGTGAGCAGCCACCATGAGACCCAGAGTCTGCATGACAGTTTAAGCTGTCACTGTTGCCCCCTGTCGCAGTCTGCGAACCGCCCGAAGCAGGGACGCGCGTCTGCTCTCTGACAGGTGGCGCATAGCCCGCCTGCATCAAGCACCACTCCCAAATACAACGCCTGTTGGTGAGGTATGGGGGTGCTCTTTTTCCAATTGATCGCAAAGCCCAACTTGGTTAGGTGTAGGATCAATTGGGCTGTGCAAAACATTGCCCATTCCCTGGACCTGGCCATGACTATGAGGTCGTCCAGATAAAAGAAAACTCTCATGCCATCGGCGCGCAGTGGTTGGAGCGCAGTGGCCACACATTTGCTGAACGTGCGTGGGGATAGGGAGTAGCCGAACGGTAATCTGTTGTACTCGTAGGCTATCCCCTGGAAGGCAAAACGCAGATACTTTCTGTGCTCTGGAGCAATTTCTACATGAAAGTACGCGTCTTTCAGGTCGATGGTGGTGAACCAATCGCCCGGATGCACTTGCCCCAGTAACTGTTGTATAGTTAACATGCGGAATTTTCTGCAGGCAATGTGCCGATTCAGGCTGCGGAGATCTAGAATAGGTCTGACTTCCCCTGTCTTCTTGGGAACCAGGAGGTACATGGAATAAAGACCCTTTTCTCTGTGCTGAGGGTGCACGACAGACACCGCCTGTTTTTGCACCAGGGCCTGAATCTCTGCTGAGAGGAAACCCATCTCCTCCTGGGATGACAGATTTACCTCTCGTATGCCTTTGAATGGAGGCGGGATGCTGCAAAACTGGAGTGAATAACCCTGTTTCAGCGTCCTGTCCATCCACTTTGTTAACACACAACTGAGTTTCCATTCCCCATAACACTGTGTTAGGGGACAAGCCCTCAGCTGCGGGGCCCCAGCTATGAAGCTGTGATACTCCCTGGTGACCCGTTCCGCCGCAAAACTCCCCGTGAAGGGAAGTTCTGCCCATGGAGGGATTTTTTACTGATGTCCCTGAACGTACCGCCGCGCGCTAATGTCCCCTGTACCCCTACGGTAAACTGCATTAATCGGAGTCTTTACTCTAGGCGTAGTGTGTACCCTGACATTTGTTCTGGGAATGTCATTTTCGAGCCTGAGACCTGAAAAACAGGCTCAGGGCTTAACAGGTTGAAAACGTTTTCTATTTGTCATTATGGGGTATTGTGTGTGGAATGTTGAGGAAAAAAATAATTTAATCCATTTTGAAATAAGGCTGTAACAAAATGTGAAAAAAGTTAAGGGGTATGAATACTTTCCGGATGCACTGTATGTACTGTCGTTGAGCATGTGCAGTGCTTATTTTTGACAAGCTGTCTTGATTGACACCTGATTGTAATTTGAACTAATTTGGGACCAATGAACTCAACAAAAAGGCAGTGCTGTAATGTAACCAAGTACCTTTACTCAAGTAGGCCTACTGTACTTAATTAAAAAATAGGTACCTTTGCTTTGCTTGAGTATTTTCACATTTGCTACTTTATAATTTTACTCCATAACATTTGTTTTACATATTCAGTTACTAGTTACTTTGCAGATTTTTGTTATTAATAACAATTATAAATCAACACATTCTAATATAATATTATTGGTTAAGCTACCCAGAAGTATATAGAGTAATTGAAATAAACCCTACTTTAGCAAGTGCAATATTGAAGTGATGAACACATTAATGCTCAAATAATTTTAATAAAATAATTGAATGGCCATTTTGCTCGAAGAGTACATCTACTTTTGGTACTTCAAGTATTTTTTAATGCTCATACTTTTCTTACTTTTACCTAAGTACAATTTTGAAAGCAGGACTTTTACTTGTAACTGAGTATTTTACTGAGTACTTCTCCCACCTCTGACAGAAGGAGCAACAGAGTTGCAGTGAGTGCTCTCTGATGACTGTCCTTTATATTAACCCCACTGAGGACATTTGTCTCTGGGTGTGGCAGGTTACTGTACGGGACGACCAAGGGATACAAGGACATGGTTCACCGTGAACAGGATGACTATCAGAGACAAGGTGAGACACACACACACACACACGCACACACACACACACACACACACACACACACACACACTTATGCTCTCCTTGCACACTAACGGCACGCTTTACCAGGTGATCTACCAAGGCCCCCCAGGTCTCAAGTTGTGTGTAAGAAAGAAAGAAAATGTAGGAAAAGATATATGACGTCAAAAGGAAAAATGCTTAACCACAGAGCACATTCATTGTTCTCCAGCTCCAATTAACGCAACGTCAATATTTGGAAATGAAAAAAATCATAATTACTCAATCATCTTATCTCCTGCGTTTTCACTGCTGGTCTAATTGGAGCTCGTTTAAAATGAATATAACTTTTAATTGAACGGCAGCACTCTTCATCTCTTGTTGTGCCATTAATTACAGATAGCTTTTATAATTTCCCTTTTCATTTGCTGATTAAAGATGAAGAGGCACACACTGAGATTTTACAGATCATTTATTTGATTTATTTTATTATATTTTAAAAGATTAACACACCCTATTTGTTATTTGATTTGATACCATTTCCATTTGATTTGTAAGACTTAGTCCTGATGACTTATAACATTTGTGTAAAGAAACGTAACATTTATTTAAACAACCATTAGTAATTTTGTTATTTTTCAGGTTGTCTGTTATGTCTTATAAAAGCATGTTCCATGATAAGCATATCATGTCTAGAATGTATATCATGTAATTAAAGGGATCACCATTAACTCAGGACACTATATGAATATTGGAGTTAAAGTGTTACAATAGTCTCTAGTTGTCTGTGAGTACAGAAATGCTGACCTTTTGAAAGATACAAGATATATGTTATGCAATTGTCTTTTCTTTTATGTTACACAGTAAGATTTATTCATTTTAATATGTTATTATTTTTACATTATTTAGATCTGGGCAAAGATAATGTACCTGTATTTTGTACAAATGATAAAATATATTAAAAATGTAAATTCTCAAGTGATTTTCACTCCCTTCACAGTTGATATCTGAGTTTCTCCAGGCTGAATCCTCTCATTGTCTGTCTCTTGTCCTGTAATGACTGAATAGGATGTGTAGTGGATCTAGTCGGAAAGTATTCACCGTCTGCTTTTGCTTCTGGCTATCGGCTCTTGTTTTACAAGTAGCGTCTTTTTAAATGTATTTTTTGGATTTAAGATTATAATGGTGTCCTGCCTGAAAGCACTGCTGTGTTTTTTTCAGTCTTATGAGCAGGTTGAAGGGTTGTGTTCTCTGAGACAGAGTGAGTGTAAGTCAGGGTGTGTTTCTTTTCTAAACTAACACCCAGACTTCTTTGTTACTCACACGTTGTGTTGGTTTCGCCATATTATAAAGTCAATCATCTCCAAGGATACACTTCATATACAATTATTATCATCATGCACAATAAAAAAAGGCCGCTTTGGCCTTATGCATTATGCTACCTAAAGAAAATAAATCTAACTGAGATTTTGGTGCATTCCTGTAGTTCGTTTTGAATTAGCAGCAGGAATGTAAGCTGCTCCAACAAAAACAATGGTGTATTACCTGATAGAAAGTATTGCCTTAATATGCTTGACATTACAAATCAACATCAGGGAAACATTGTGCATTATCTTTGACTTTGTTTGACCCTTTCACCCCACCAGAGTCCTGCACTCTGTCTTGAGGTCTGCTTCTCACATCACATTTCATTTGGCTGGCGCTTTATCCAAAGCAACTTACAATAACAACAAACTCCGAACAACAAGGAAGGCTATATTCACTTCTCTATATTCAGATATATTCACTTCAAGCTAGACATACCATTGTACGTGCTGGTGAATTAGTTACAAGGCCTAAATTAACAAATACAACAACTTGACCCAAGAGATGTGATCACGACGATTAATCAATTATTATATCAACAGTGTTAAATGAGAGCAATTTTAATGATTGATTAATCCAAGTAATTTATCCGAATATCTTTGGTTTACAGATAGCTGGTCTGAGAAAAATAGCAGTAATAGAAAGTAAAAGACAAGGACCTGAAAACATGATAAGGTTCATTTCATTTAAACAACGTACAATCAATGAAAACAAATGTTCTTCAGCTTAGACAATGTGATGTTTTCAGAAACTTAAATCTGAGGGTGATTTTATGTGCAAATTATAATTTTATTATTATAGGGGGCGTCTAAGAGATTTTTCTTTTTATTCACCTTTGGGAAGTTTTCACAGGCCTCTTTTCAAAATAGCAATAATTTAAATATAACTATGTACATTTAAATAGCAGACAGTCTGCATATAATATGTTATATACATATTAACATTTGAATACCGTAGTAAAATCTCTCTGTTTCAGGTCAGCACTTCAGCCTCCGTCAGCTGGGGATCTGCGAGCCCCCGTCGCGCCGCGGCCTGGCCTTCTGCTCCGAGATGGGCCTCCCCCACCGCGGCTTCTCCGTTGGTACGGTCCAGGACCTGGACACCGACAGCCAGGCTGTGATGTCCCCGGAGCGCGCCATGCGTCTGTGGGGCCGCGGGGGTCTGGGGAAGTCATCCGGGAGGAGTTCCTGTCTGTCCAGCCGCTCCAACTCCGTGCTGACTCTGACCGACACGGAGCACGAGAACAAGTCCGACAGCGACACCGGTAGGCCGCTCACTTCCTCTCTGATGGGCTCTCTCCCTCTCTGTGCTCCAACGCTCTCTCTACACATGTTCTACGTATCTGTTCCTGCCATAGCATTCTCACTGAACACAGCCTGTCTTGGTGCTGTGACTCCTGCGTGCGTGCGTGTGTGTGTGCGTGTGTGTGTGTGTGAACTGGTGAACCTTGATTAGTGATTCAGAGGCAAATTGTAAAGCGCTTTGTCAGGTAAGGTTGGAAAGAGCTTTGTAAGAGAAGTATTTTTACAAAAATGTTCAATGACAGGATGTTTTACTTTGGAGAGTATAATGTCGTTCGCTAGGCTGGTGGGTCTAACAAAAAAAGAATCTGATTTGAACAGCCATGTCACTAAGGCTTATAAGAACATAGGTTATTTAGGGATATGCATTTGAGATTTAGCCCTGCAGCAGATTAAATATATTTATTGTTCAGCAGGTCTCTCTCCTCAAACACCGATTTCTCCATGTTCAAACCTCTCCTTTAAGAAGTGCTGTTATTGTGTGATGTATGTTGTGTGTTATAAATGGTGTGTCATTTTCTACTTGTAATAATAATGTTATAACAACAAGGTGGAGAACAATGTGGAAGTGTCCCATGTATATTTTCCACCCTCCCCCCCGCCCGCTCCGTGTCCTTTCTGCTGCTGGGAATTGGAGCTGGAGGCTGGGGCAGAAGTTGGGGGGCCGGGGGGACATAAAGAATGTCCTGCTAATTAATTTAATTAATGATGACAATTTAGCTGAGTAGTCATTTGTTTTGTTTTTTACCTTTTTGTGTCCCTGTGTGAGTTTCAGGGTTACTGCTCACTGGCATGCATGTAAGCACAGACATGTGTGTGTGCAAATATCTTTGTAAATGAGTTATTTGTCAGCACGTGTGTGTGTGTGTGTGTGTGTGTGTGTGTGTGTGTGTGCGTGTGTATCCTCAATGTACTTCTCCTTAACAGGTGTGAATTTAATATTTAATAAAGGACTTGTTTTTGATTGTGTGACACACAAATCTACAGTATTTTCATTAAGCCGTAAATACGCACACACGGTGGGTTTTCATTAAGAGATGTGATGTTGTAATTAACAGTGAGATAATGTGCTGAGTCATTATATTTTCTATATTAAGTTTGATAATGTTTTTATTAAATGGCATTACGCCGTGGATGTCAGTGCTCCAGAGGATACACTTCCCCTCTCTAAAAGTGAGTAGTCGTCAAGTTTTCAAAGGCTAATTGTGTAATTTAAAATGCAGCTGTGTGTGTGTGTGTGTGTGTGTGTGTGTGTGTGTGTGTGTGTGTGTCTGTGTGTGTGTGTGTGTGTGTGTGTGTGTGTGTGTGTGTGTGCGTGTGCGTGTGCGTGTGTGTGCGGGTGCATGGGTGTGTGTGTTGAAGTGGTCATTTTCCAACACACACAGTTACTTGTGGGTTCTGACCATTTTTGTATCAGTTGTGATTTGGTGTCTGACTGTGGTGGCCGAATGGTTATTGATGTACTGATTAACCTTAATAAAGGGGAGCCACTCAAAAACGTTTGGAGGACAAAGCATGGTGTATTGGAGCAGACTTGTAGGACTTCTTAGTTTTTTTATTAAGGCGCAATAACGGTCATATTAGTGTGCATCTCACAGTGTGTGTGTGTGTGTGTGTGTGTGTGTGTGTGTGTGTGTGTGTGTGTGTGTGTGTGTGTGTGTGTGTGTGTGTGTGTGTGTGTGTGTGTGTGTGTGTGTGTGTGTGTGTGTGTGTGTGTGTGTGTGTGTGTGTGTGTGTGTGTGTGTGTTCTCAAAGAGAGTAGGGACTCATGGATAAAAAACCTTGTGAAGATGGTTATTAAACGTATGAATTTCATGAAAGATAATACAACACTGAAGCTATTGCTCTACCATTTGAAGCCATCGATAAACCTCAGGAGACCCTCTGCATGAGCATCATCAGTCAGAATAAGAACGGCCTCATCAAAGTTTATGTATAGGTCTCTTTTTTTCCAGGAGCCTTCGATTGCAAGAACCTGGTTGCAGGTTTCATTCCATTGTTTTACTCTAGTTTATAATCTCCAAACATTTATTTTTTTCAAGAAAGTGTTCTGTGATGGCCCACATCTATCGGAGTGAAGACTGAAGGTTGTAATGTCACTGATTGGACAAACACAAGCCCTGAGAAAGTTTTATTTAATTGATATAACTTGTGTAGAAAATGTTTCTCTAAAACAAGTAAATATAACAAGCTGGCTAAAGAGAGATGACTTAAGGCCCTGACACACCAGGCAGTCACCAGAGAACTCGCTGACGCCGACTGTTGCGTCGCCGTGTTCTCCTGCGTCTTGGCCATGTGTCGCACTGGAACACACTGCAAAGACTTCAGCCGAGCACGTACGAACTGCGCATGCGTGAGTGGCAATAACTCTGCTTACCAGCAGGCGGCGGTAGTGTGTATTCGTCATTCAAAAGAGGCAACAACCGGAAGACAGAGAAGAAGAACAGACTGCGTGATATAAACAAACAACAAATAGCGTGTGCGTTCCATTATCACTCTCGTCCATCGAAAACATGTTTCGTGCGGTACTGGAGCTATCAGCCATTGGAGTGTTGCTTGTGGAAGATATTCTCAAGCAACCGTTTCGCTTCTCATGCACTGATTCGCTAGCTGAACAGCCAATCAGAGTGATTTCTTTGTCCGACTGCCTGTGGCCGACGCACGCCCGATTCAACATGTTGAATCCGTGCGTCTGCCATGAAAGGCCAAATAAGGCGTGTCACGGCCGACGGTGCGGGACACACCAAATTGAGTTTGGGCGACAGGGCACGCTTCGTCGTCCGACTAACGAAAACGGACGATTTCGGCCTGGTGTGTCAGGGCCTTTAGAAAGAGACCCAGACCTGCTTCCTAGTGATGACAAGAACAAATATTTACATTTACATTTGAGTTTTGGTAGTACCAAGTACACTACAGATGGTCAGCTTATTTTATATTGATTTGGACATATACCATGTTTTGGAAATCCAATCCAAGCTATCAGAAAATGAAAAGCAGCCTTCAAAACATATTCAGCTTATTATTTATGACCTTGTAATTGTTATGATCATGATATAGTATTACTTAAAAGTATGCCCTGTGTTGGAAGTAAATATTATAAAATAAATTCATTCCGCTGGGGTATAGTGTGTCAGCCTCCATCGCTGCTTCACCTGGTGGACAGACCGTTGCAACTGATTTCCAGAAATAGCTCCTAAACAGCTTGGGCCTGCCTTCACTACCTCATGGCTGGGGGGGGCAAGGAACTATCTAGGAGGGAGGGGCCATTGTTAGTGGCTTTATCTGTTAAACATTGACATGTCATTAAAGGGCCCATGTCATGCTTTTCCGGTTATTACCCGTCCCCTTGTGTGTTATGAAGGTTTTTATGCATGTAAACGGTGTGCAGAGTCAAAACCCTCAAAGTACCCCTGTAGCGAGTAAAACTCTAACACAGAAAATACCTCCCCAAAACGCCTCGTTGGAGATACGTCATTGTCCATTTGATTCTTCCATTTCGTTCCGGGTACGGCATGATATCATGCCGTACCCGGAACGAAATGGACCAATCCGTGGAGCCGTTACGTTACGTCCGCGGAGCCGTTGCGTTAAGCCCCCGCTGATTAGTCCAAAATTTACCAATCCACGGACTTCCTCACACACACACACACACTCTATGTGCAGGCAGCTCTGCTGTGCTGATTTCTCCTCCCTGGCTGCAGGCTGATAACAGACAGTTGGGATCGCGGCGAAATTCTCTCTGCAGACCCATTCTCACAGCGTTTATCAACCTTTTTCTTACTCACCCCAGCCAGAGCTTTAAGGTCTGCTGACCAGCTGCTGCTGGTAGTGCCCAAGACCAGGCTTAAAACCCGAGGGCACCGAGCCTTCGCAGCAGCTGGCCCTAGGCTCTGGAACACTCTGCCCCTCCATGTGAGGTCGGCCCAGACCCTAGGGGTTTTTAAATCTACACTAAAAACACACTTCTTCTCTCTGGCCTTCTAGTTAGAGCGGAGCAAGACTCCTGACTTTTCCTTGTGTTTTTTTTTATTTTATTTTTTTTATATATATCTGTTGTAATTTATTGTCTTTGTGATTGTAGTAATGTGTTTTTATTACATGTACAGCACTTTGGCTCGACCAAAAATCGCTTTTAAATGTGCTTTATAAATAAAACTTGATTTGATTTGATTTGATTACTCAATATCAAGCCACACTTATTGTTTTTACTTCGGCTGTGAGTTTGTGTGTGCTCAGGATGAGTTTGGCTGTGTTTCGCTATGTATCGCTAAACAAGGAAACAACACCTCCACGGAGCTCAGCGCGATTCACAACGTCCCGACCAATCAGAGCACACTGTGCTCACAGGGAGGGTGGGGGCTGGAGCTTTTGGAGCTACAACGAGCCGTTAAAGGCAGAGAGTGAAATTCAGTGAATACACGTAGTTTACAGAGATGCTGTATGAGAAACCAATGTGAGTTTGGAAAAATGCACAATATAAATCTATTCTAGTAGACCTCAACAATGGAATTATGATTAGTGGAAATGGCCATGACATGGGCCCTTTAAATGAATACATGTTTTCCTTTAATGGTTTGCTGGGGGGGGGAAAGGACACACCAAATCATGCAGTAGAACAAAAACAGTTGGGTGTATATGTTATTTTAAAAGTAGCTTTTATCAGCGAAACAGATCGAGTCCTGATTGTGTGAATGCAGGGCTGTACCCGAATATCCGAATAATCGGTCGTTGGCCTACTATTCAGTTTTCAATTTCGTTATTCGTTTTTTTTTTTTATAAACGTTATAGACTTAGGTCGCATTCACACCAGTCTTGTATAGTCCGGTTGAATCGAACCCTGGTGCGTTTAGCCGCTTCGTGCGGTTCGTTTGGGTTGGTGTGAACACAGTCCGAGACCTCTGAAGTGAACTAAACAACCGGACTCTGGTCCGCTTAAAAGAGGTGGTCTCGGACCACTTGCTAG